AAGAAAACTAATTTATTTGTCTTAGGCAGAAAGACAGAGGCTAAGCTTTCCTGGTGGTTGTTTTGGGTTTGGTTTTCTTACTAATTTTTTTTTTTTTTTTTTCATTTATAAGGTTGTTGCTAGTTTAGAATGATTCTAAACTTTGTTGTCTAGGTATGTAGCGCTTGGATAGGAAGTGGGGTTGTAAGTGACCTGAATGATCTTCGCCGAGTTCACAACCTTCTTGTCTCTTCCCTGGATAAAGTGCAAGCAGGAAAGGGATCTTCTAGCCAGCTTTACCGAGAGAGCGCGACCACTATGGAAAAGCTCGCAGTTCTGAAAGCATGGGCTGAGGTAAACAATGACCGTTCAATCTGTAAAAGTTTTGGAAACATTTTACAGTGTAATAGCAGCCTCACACCTCACACTGGCTGTACATGCCTTCCTCCTAACCTCTTGTGCAGTTCTGCTCCTGGGATGTTTTAAACTCACTATCTTTCTCTGTCATTCTGTTGAGCCATATTTACACTGAGGCTTGATTGTCCTTTGTTTTGCTGCACTCTTCTGTATACAAATACACACTCATACCCTATCAGATTTTTAATTTCTTCCCATCTTACTGCTCTTAAATTTGGAAAAAAACCCCCACAAACAAGAAAACAAAAAACCCTAAAAATCAAACAGCCATAAACTATATTCTTGGAAAACATTGCAGTTAGTTAACTAGTTAACACTAGACAGTGTTAACTAGTTAGTTAACACTGTCAAGAGTTTAGAATTGACACATTTTTAGGAAGAAAGTGTATGGCCAGATTGTTTTAGGAAAGACCTGTTTATGAACCTAAACATTATATATATACTGATAGAAGTAAAAGAAAGGATTTCAATAAAATGGAGTTGTATTGAAGATCTGTTTTTTCCAGTAACTTTCTGGTGAATTTTATCTGTATGGAATCTGTTCCATTTGTGTGGTAAAGGCTGCTGCTTTCCTTTCCTTTTAGAGTCTCACAGTACATACTTTGACATGTTTTACTTCTAGGTATATGTCGTTGCCATGAAAATTAAGAAAGAAGCAGAAACCAAACCAAAGCGTGTTTTAAAGAGCACAGAGGAGGATGAGGATGATTTTGGTACTGTGGATGAGTTGCCACCAGACAGTTTGATAACACTTGTACAACCTGAACTGCCTGCACTGAGCCGTCTCTGGTTGGCTGCACTGAAAGATTACGCTCTTTTAACTTTACCAGCTGAATTTGCTACCCAGCTTCCACCAGATGGTATGCACTGAAATTTCTTTTTGTGCTTTGCAAAACAGAAAGAAGACTGTAGCTGGACATTCAGAATTATTCTATAAATTATTTGGCATGCGTGTTTTTTATGCAAGTGATAAATTTTTGCCTGAGCATGTAATAGCAATATTTCCTAACTTTGAATCTTTTTTCCTTCAATTTGTGATGAATATCATCTTTATTTAAATCACTGAAATCATTAAAATCATGTCTTTGTAGAATTAAGAGTACTTCTTTACCTCTAATACTTTGTTATCAAATGCAAAAAGATTTTGGCTGTATGAGAAACATAGCCCCTGAAATTAGAGCAGACACTGTATTTTACTGAGTTAAGAGTGAATGCTCTAGATTAAAAATGCTGCCTGACCTGATGACTGTGCCTGCCTTTCTTGCTCTCTGCTTACTGCTTTATTGAGGCCAGTGCACTGCTACAGAATGAGAATTGGCATGTACTGCCACTTACAAGTATTACACCTGATTATGTTTAGGATCAAGCACACCCAGAGTAAATATACTAATAAATTTAAATTTTTTATCTGTTACTTGCAGAGAATTTCAGAATTTACCTTTGCTTTGTTAATTTAACAGGAGGAGCATTTTACACTCCAGAAACAATTGACACAGCTAGACTGCATTACCGAAACTCCTGGGCTCCCATACTGCATGCAGTGGCACTTTGGCTAAACAGTACAGGATTTAATGTGTCAGAATCAACAGAAGACACTGCTGCAGCAATGCCCAATTCTCAGAAACGTGCTACATCCATTATGTTAAACCAGACACCTGGAACTCCACCTACCACTAAATCTTTGCCAGAGATAAACAAAGATCGAATGCATTTAATTTTGGGTAAGAGTTACAAGTTTAGAATTCAGTAGCAGCATGTTATGGTATGAAATGCTATGAAAATGACAAAAGATACTTTTCTTGAAATCGGTGAAGTTTAAA